CGTTCAAAACACGTATGCAAGGCTGGCACCACGGCTGACCTCTGGCTTTGCTGCCATCACTAATTACATCGGCGTTCGCTCTTTCACCCTTTCTTCTGTCCCGAAAACTCCCTAGCTCACGATTACGAGCACCTGGACGGCGCAGGAACCACAACGCCATCACTGGGCGTTCATTTCACCTTGTTGTCAAAGGAAAGACGAAAATAAAAAAAAACTTTGCATGGCTCGGCTCTTTCGCAATGAACACTCAAACGACAAGCCGCCTGTGCTTGTCGTTTGAGTGTTCCTTTTCTTGTGTGTGTCTCTTTTGCGGCCAAATCATGCCATTAAGTTCGCTCTTTCGCCGAGGTGACAACGACACAGGCGGCGCCGTTTTAATTGGGTCACCTCGGCACCTGAATGCATAATGGGTACGAAAGTAGAAACTTTGTAAAACGAAACGTGTGGCGAAGTTTTCAAAAACCAGAGAAAGCGACAATTCGAGGCTGATAGGCTAAACGAGCGGGCCGTTTATTAAAGTGGAAAACATGCACCCTTTAACACAATAGCAGCTACTATAGCGGCGATTCACGCCGAACCATGGATGCTTGATATTTTCGCGTTGAGCGTTTTGTTAATTACGCTTCCTTGTTTTCTTTTTGCTGTTGATTTTGACGCGAAAACAATAGAATGTTCATTGCATATGCAAGTAAAGCATGTCTTTTTTTATTTTTGATATTTCTCGGTAATAAGACACAACAATACTTTTGCAGGAAGTTCACAGATGGACCACTTAAAAAAGGGTACAAATACACACAAACGAAAGGAGAAATCAGTAGACAGGACGAACACTGAACTGCTCATGTGCTGTGCAAGTAGAAATGACAGAAGAAAACCAAGGACAGAGCGTGGTGTCAGTCCTTTTTTTTTTACTTCTTCTTGAACCACACGGCAGTATTCCAGCATGAATCCACTAGACTGCAAGGAAGTGTATTGCTGCAAAGGCGATCACGCTAGTCCAAAAAGTAAAACGAACAATGTACTACGAATAGGCAATGAGAGACTTGTGCCCTTTCAAGTATTTTTGATAAGTGAGTTACTCTCGTAAGCTTAAATAATATCCAGGTGGTACGGTCGTTGGTTAACAACGTTTCCAGAGTAGAACAACGCGTCAAAAAGAAATCGGAAATACAGCTATGTGCAGAACCCTGCCGAAAATGAGGATACAAAAGAGGGGGACGTGGTAAGACGACAAATGAAAGCTATCGTTTAAGGAAGTCTTGATTTGACCCCAGAACTAGCTCGCAGACTCGCCAGGTGCCATTTTCTTGCTTTCGAGACCTCGATCACCAACTTCGTTTTGTCAGAAAAATGAAACTGTCCCGAAAACTCCCTAGCTCACGATTACGAGCACCTGGACGGCGCAGGAACCACAACGCCATCACTGGGCGTTCATTTCACCTTGTTGTCAAAGGAAAGACGAAAATAAAAAAAAACTTTGCATGGCTCGGCTCTTTCGCAATGAAATCGGGGGAAAAAAACGAACTAGAAGCGCGCAAGCAGGGGGAAGAAACTGTACGTGGAGTACGGGAAACAAAAAAATAAAAGAACTGTAGTAATAGGAAGAAAAGGTTGCGTGTATATAAGGGAATCAAAAGTGAAACCAGTAAGACCTCGTTTTCATTTCGGCAGATCGCGCACTTCTTCATTTCCATTTCCCGCCGCGCCATCACCGTGCGAAGGTATTCATCAGGCTGGTGCAGTGCCGTGCTAGGCGGTGCGCGTATTCGCGGCCAGGTCTCGGTCGTTTGCCGAAACCAAAGCGACAGCGCCACGGCGCGGCCGTGCAAAGAATGGCGGCCGTCGTTTCCGCTCCGTTTTGTGCGGCTAACGTAGCGACACGCGTTCGCGGAAGGAAATTTTGACCGCCGTTCATATTTGCGGCAAGCGAAAAAAAAATTGAAAGAAAAAAAATAATAAATATCAAATGAAAATGCAGCGATAGAAAAAAAAATACTCCCCTCCACATTTTTTTTTCTTTTTTCTTGAGAGCTGGGGCGAGTGAATTGAAAAAGAGAAAACGCAAATGACGCCGCTTTATCACTTTCGGAGCAGGACGTGTAGTGTTTCTTTTTCTCGCGCCGTTTTTAGTTCGTTCTTTTTTTATTCCTGTTTCGATGAGCGCCCTCCTGCTTACAACTCGCCATTTCGTAAGCCCTTGCGGCCTTGTGGCGTTGGTATTGACTACAATTGATGCGCTATTTTTCACTTTTGTGTCACGTTTTGATCGCTGCTGGAGATGCTATAGGGCCAGATAATGTGAAGGTTCTGCTAGAATCGTACAAATAGGCTAGCTATGAGTGTTGGCCCTCAATCGAGGGAGGGAGAATTAAAGACTGGAAGTTCTCTTTCAGCCGCTACAAGTATTTTTTTTAGGGACGAAGCTTCTTATGGCGTAGGCTTTTCTGCCATATTTGTCTGTCGTAAACACCTGTTGTACGTGAAGTGTTCAATTCAATTCAATTTTATCTAATCTCAAGGATAAGAGCAGGCACTGGAGAAAAGTGGTGTTTGCCACTCGAGGAGGACCCGAGCCTCCCTGATACATGAAAGCAACGACGACATAGATCATGGGGGAAGAAAAAAAGAGCGTGAAAAGAAAAAAGGTGTTCACCAGCTGGCGCTCGCATCGCTCGCATCACTAAAGGTGTTTCGATAAACAGACAGACATAACACTTTCCGACAATTTCACAAGTAGCAACCCTGCATCTGTTGAAGTAGAAAAGTTCGGGAAATCCCTCACTCACTCACTTACTCACTCAATTTCTATTATACGCTCTACGATGTTATCAACTTAATCATCCTAGTTTTTTACGTCTCCTTGATTTATTAGATGCAAAGCAGCTTATGGCGGGATTTCATCCACTTTACGGTGTTACCAGCATTACTGCGCATGCGCAACAGCTGGTCCAAGGACCACCAGGACGCGCTCACGCGATAGCACGTCCCGACCTCTGTAAGGGGCTGGGTAAGATGATGTGGCCACTCCCCCTTACACTCTCTCAGCAATCACGGGATGACGTCGGGGAACGAGATTCCGCAGACGCGCCATGAACGCACGTGCTCCTGCGTGGCGTGGCGATGAATCCTCGTGGCGTTCTACTTCGCGATGATGATGATGATGATGATGATAAATACCTTATTGGGTTGAAAAGAAGGGGTTTGAGGAGCTAGATGGGTGGGGCCTCATGTCCAAGGCTCCACTAGCTTGCGCCGTTCGCCGGACGTGGTCCAGGAGTGCTAGTTGCACCTCCAAGTCCGACCTTACGAGGAGCGCCTCCCACTGCTACAAAGAGTTTTCTATTTTATACGTGCTCTGTAAGCGGTTGAGTTCATTTGGCCCTGACGAAACTTCCCGAGATAAGGTAGAGGGTCGGTGGCGAGTCGAGACACCACGGACAATCGCGTCCATACTAAGTCGGACGAATTTTGTGCAATTGTAATAAATTTGGGTAAACTCCCGTTTGAAATTTGTGGAGGTCTATGGCGTGTTCTCCTTTAAGACAAATATGTCGCCCTTCACAAATCTTTTAAAGAGTTCAGGATGAGTAAGAGCAACGAAACCTACAATGAATCCAAGGTGTGCTCCACTTGCTAGGACGCGTTTACTTCGGGCAAGGTGCCCTTGATGAACGGAACTTGAAGTCTACCCATGCGCTGCTTCACACGCTACTCGCGGTTTCGTTTTGTGGAAGATGGTGTGATTTAATTTATTTATTTATTTCACACATTCATTCATTCATTCATTCATTCATTCAATCATTTCGCTAGCCTATCATCGTGTTTGGCTTAGGACACAATGCGAAAACGCTTTGAGTGATCGTAAAAGACAGGAAAGAGCTGCTTTTCCTACCAGACGCAAGTAGACTCATCTTCCCACGAGAGAACGAGGCAGTTTCCGTATCCCGCGTGCGTTCATCGTGGATGAAGAATGTTGTCGTATCAACTGGTACTAGCAGTATGTGGAAAGCGCATTCATTGCTCGCCGCTAGTGCTTTGTGCCCGACCTGCGCCCTCAAAGACGACCGTACTGCAAGTGGCTATACGTTACCCCGAATCGCAATATGTCCAGGCCTTGCTTGCACGTCATCACACCGCCATTAGTCACGTTGCTCCACCGAGCTTTCCAGCGAACAGCTTTGTTTTCTTTTCGTTCAGTAGTTGTATTCTTTGTTTTCTAGTGGAGTGCTTCTGGATCGTTTTATTGTTTGTCTGACGCAAGCAAGACAGCAGCGAACAACTTGCTTCGTTTGTCTGGAGGCCGTCTTGCGGATCTTTCACTGTTGTGTTCAGTGCTCAACACGATGCTACGAGGTGGAAGCAGCTGCTCAGATAGACAATATGTGCGAAAGGATTGTTTATATTATAGGCACTCAGGAATCTCAATGGCTGTGCATTTGTATCTGTGCGCAAGGTTAGTGAGTGAGTGAGTGAGTGAGTGAGTGAGTGAGTGAGTGAGTGAGTGAGTGACATCATCCGTCCACATTATTTGATCGCTGTGAAAACAGCGTTGAGGCAGAAAATCGAAAGTCCGACGTTGGCCAGAGTTTGTACCGACTGGCTGCTTGCGCTGTGTAAAAGTGTAAATAAATGAACAAATGATCGCACAAACGAATATTTCAATAAAGAAAGAGATAGGTTCACACTTACGCGATGCAGGATGATGCAACTTTTCCAGTTTATCACGTGATTCACAAGTGATAAGTGCTGCAGCAATATTTTCATGCATTGAACTACGTTGGCACTACAAAAGCTTAAAAAGAGGTTGGCGAAGTTCGACAGCATACGTTCAAACATCCGTCATGGTATCTTGAAGTAACGGCTTTTCGATGTAACAGAAATGCGAGAGTGTTCATGTCCGTGGATCACTGTGCACGCTAAGGCATGTGGGTTTTCTCACGGCGGAGTGTGTTCCACCAATAGAAACAACCCATGCTTGGTGTCTCTTGTGTCTCTTCTAGTTCGACCAGCCATTGTACCCTTCTCTTTCCCGGAGTCCCTGCATCAGGGCCAGAGGTACAACGTTTTGTGCACGGTGTCCAAAGGCGACGCGCCAGTCCACATCACCTGGTACAAGGACGGCGTTCCCGTCTCCACTGCTGGCCTGGCATCCGCGAGCGTGCTGAACGTGACGGAGTTCTCGTCGACTCTCATCTTCGAAAAGCTACTACCAGAGCACCGAGGAAACTACAGCTGCGAGGCCCGCAACGAGGCAGGCGGGGTCACGGTCACCTCCACAATGGTAATTCACGGTATGGCTTGCGATGCACCTTCTTCAATGCTTTCTTTTCAGTTTTTTAATGTGCCCCTCACCAGGTTTAGTCATTGCAAATGACCGAACGTAGCGCCTATGTCAGTTGGTGGTAGCGTTACTGTACAAGCTACCTTTAGATAGCAGAATTTCGCATCGTTTTATCAGCCGTGCTAGCAAGCGTGAATTGCGGAGAAGCTTATACAGAGGCCTTTATTTTTTTAACATGAAAGTGTTTTATGCGGAGGACTACGAAGGCTTTAGTGATGTAGTTCTGTCACGGATATGACTTTGATAAAATGTACAGTACAAACTAATAAGAATTTTTTTAGAAAAATATTTCCCCGGCGGAAATGGAATTAATAGCGTGCCGGCATGCTATCTCGGAGGTCATAGTTAAAGCGTCTCAATAGCAGCAACAAACACTGGCTACGGTAGTATCGGGGATTCGCTCACTGTGCAGTTATTTGTCACTGTAGCTATGTTTTATTGCCTTTCGCTTCGTCTTATCTGTTAGCTGTATAGAGTATCATTGTTGAAGTGATGCAGCTTCCACATGCACCAATGGTCTTTCGCCACTGACTGGTTCGTATGCGATAGCACCGTTTAATAACACTAGCACCCACCGACTCAAAGCGGCGCAGAAAGGCAATGATGGCGACGGGCGAATTCGGTGCCCTGGTGGAGCAAGACGGAAACCAGCCGGACGTGGAACGCCTGCGCGCGTTTGCGGCTTAAGCTGCGAACATCTGTCTTTCGTGTTGCTGAAGCGCGGTATGGTTGTGTACGCACGAGAGAGAGAGAACAACTTGATTGGTTCAATCCGGCAAAACAGGGAAGGGGATAAGGACGGAGACTCTTGCGTGCCCGCTTGCCCTACGGAGGCGGGGGCCGTACTACAGCACATGCATATATTACCACATTACATGGGAGTGTGCAACATGTCGTTTCTCACCCTAATAAACGCCTTGGAGAAGTGCACAGTACCAGTATTTATTACGTGCTTGTTGATGTCATCTCCACGCGAGATTCACCATACGCTGTGTCCATGTGTAGGTTAAAAAGATCCTCTACCACAATGGTTAAACCATGACCATGGACGTCAGTCGTCGCAATGTAGATGTGCCACTAGGAATAGACGTGGGTGGATCCACGTCAAATGGTGCTATAGCTGCCAAACACCAATGAAGTTGTTCAAATTTATAATCGCTACAAAGTAAGCACTACTTCTGTGAAGAAACTTTTGACTTTCGGGTTACATTGATTCCTACGACGGAGGGTTAAGCCATGTTTCTTTCTTTGTATTTCCCGGTGCCACCACTGCAGCGAACTTGACAACCGCTAGCGGTAATCCAATTCACTGTCAGTGACCTCTATACTTAGCATACTAGACAGAATACCAGTCAGAAATCACTTTCAGAAACCCCCGTCAGCATTTACTAGTCAGCAAAGTACACCGGCGATCGGCGACAAGCTAGCATGTCGCCATAAAACATAACTTTCAGCATCACCGCATAGCTGTATAGTTGCTAGCCTGCTAATAATTCTGATTCCTGCTGGCAGCATGTAAGGAAGCTCTAGGAGATGGCAACCTTGCATGCAAGGTAAGATTCCCTTGGCAGCGCGGAAATGGCCAAGTCTAAAACAGAATGCCGCTCGCTCTTTTCTTCGAGAAATGATGGATTTAGATTGAGTACCTAATAACCTGACCACGTTCTCGTAACAGGCGCTCCCCACTGCTTGTTCCTTGGTGGCTAAGAGTGGCTTTCTTGAAGTCATTTTACTCTCGTATTGAAATGGCTGATAACCCATTTTGTGACGAATGTGGTAGCTAGGAGACATCCTTGCTACAATGCGCAGAGAAAATCACTTGCAGTCATTCTAGCTCAGAACGCAGGCCGAAAAAGGTGGAAATTATTCTGGAATGTCGCCCTGAGAGGTCATCATGGGTTAAGGTGACGAAGGCCATGCTCAACTTCTTGAATGCACCAGACTTGCGCCGGCAATTATAGACTGATGGGGTTATGATGACTGTTATATGTATGACTTTGTGTGTGCGTGCTCTCCTCTCTCTTTTCATCCGTCTTTATTGCTCCCTCATCTTTTTCTCCAGTGTAGGGTAGCATACCGGTCCTTCTAGACAAGTTAACATCCCTGGCTTTTCCTTTATCTTCTGTTACTTATTTCCTCGAGGCGTCACAACCGTGAATTCGGTTCTTCATCCAATGAGGAACCCAGAGTGCGTGAGCCGCGAAACAAATGAGAAAGCATTAGCGTTTTTAATGAGGTGGTACTCGGCCACACATAAATTATCCATGCGCTCGCTTCTACACGAGTACACGGTCATAATGACCGTGTACTCGTGTAGAAGCGAGCGTTAATTTGTTAACCCTAAGTCCATTATGACCGTGTACAGAGTACACGGTCATAATGGACTCAGGGTTAACAAAAAAAAAACATCTGTATTTCTTTTCGTGGTGAGCACGTCTTTAGAGTAAATGGTTAACATGCAGTTTAGTTTTTTCTACTTTTTTTTTCAATAATAAAGCTATTTCAAAATTCTTCCAGCAATATGATCCCTACATGGCATCTGACAACTTCTAAGGCGTAATCTAAATATGCGATGATGCCTGGTGAGGGGATAATTAAGAAGTTTATGATTACAACGAGAGGCTGTTCATTTCCTGACTGAAAAATGTCTTGCTCTCTGATTAAGCATGAATGTTTAGAGCACATATATATTCCTATATGCAACACTTGGTTTCTTAACATAGAATGCCTTCCTGTTAACCGCACTACTTTCGAGCATTTCATATCTCTCTCTTTTTCTCTTAACACAGAACTAAAGTGCTGTGAAATGTAATTTTATCAATTCATTTGTCAACGGCTTTTACAAGGCTAAGATCAGAAAAAGACGAATGGCAGAAAGGAGGCTCCACTTCACAAACGCATAGTCAGAAAATATTGTCAAGAAAATGAATCTAATAATTCTCGAAATTTTATTTGCTGTTTAAAGTTTTGTTACGCGTGTACGGTACACTTATCATGACTGAAATATACTCAGTCAATGTCGCATGCTACTCATTAGTTCAAATTTCTTGATTGTTACGTTATTTCACACTCATATTTTGCAAAATAGATAAAGGTTGTGCTTTAGCGGATCGTCTTCTATTTACGTGATATTGAAATGAACGACTGTGTGAAAAGCTTATCTCTATATAGTATACTTTGGTGTTTATGTTTAAGCACCGTCGCGGTGGTATAGTGGTTAAGGTACTCAGCTGTATAGTGGTTAAGGTACTCAGCTGTTAAGCAGCCGCGGCAGCGGGATCGAATCCCGGCTGCCGCGGCTGCTTTTTCTATGGAGACGAAAATGCTGTAGGTCCATGCAAATGTGCTAAAGCTGGTACGCACGTTAAAGAACCCCAAGTGGTCATAATATTCTCCGGAGCCCTACACTACAGCGTCTCTCATAATCATATGGAGGTTTTGGGACGTTAAACCACACATATCGATCGATATTTATGTTTAAGTTAAACACAGTACATTTCTGGCTTTATTTGAAGTGTTTCCCAGATATAGTATGCGTGCTTGAGCGGCGCAAAATAATGTGCAACCCTTGTGTTTCTATTGCGTGTACAGTGCCACCTATGTGGCGCATCGAGCCGTCCGACACCATGGTTGTTCGCGGTGGTACGGCCATCATTGACTGCCAGGCCGATGGTTTTCCTGTGCCTCGTGTGAGGTGGACGAAATCTGAAGGCGAGTGTGGGTTCATTGTATGTATGTATGTATGTATGTATGTATGTATGTATGTATGTATGTATGTATGTATGTATGTATGTATGTATGTATGTATGTATGTATGTATGTATGTATGTATGTATGTATGTATGTATGTATGTATGTGTGTATGTATGTGTGTGTGTGTGTGTATGTATGTGTGTGTGTGTGTGTGTATGTATGTATGTATGTATGTATGTATGTAGTTTAAGACTAGACGCACCACACGCGAATAGACTGATCTCACCAGCCGATCTGTGCATGCGGGGTATCCGACAGCGGAACTGCCTCCATCATAGTCGTAGTTCCCAGCGCGGCTGTTGCGGCTGCTTGTAAGTGTTTCAGGTTTACTGGCGTTTCGCAATAATCCTCGACAGACAAGACGAGTTAACGCGGTGAAAACTGTGTCCATCCCTCCAATGTGTGTTATTTTATTTAGGCTTAAGCTGCACGCTCGTGCTCGAAAAAATCGATAGTGCTTACAAGTGGCCATATCATTTCGTCTTGTTGAAGACCTCTCGTCGCTTTACTGAATATATATTAGTAACTAAAAACAAAGCACGTTTCCGTTGTTATGAGAGAAAAAAAATCTTCTGGGAACGTCAGCACACAAGTGACACAAGCTGTGGTATCCGGAAAATCGCTGTCCCAAACTTCGTCTATCTCTCCGCCATCACGGAAACGGGAAAAAATACATATACAGTGAAAGCTCGTTAATTCACACCTCATTAATTCGAAATTTTGGATAATTCGAAATGGTTGCCGCAGTCCGATCCACAGTGCATAGGAGACCATGGGTAAAACGATTCGTTAGTTCGAACAGAAATTGCTGCCTCTACGGATAATTCGAAGCGCGCGCCGCCGAGCGTCATCATCGTCAAACAATAGTGGAAGCTTTTAAGGTCGAACGATAGGTGGCACGACCAATTTTTTCATGCTTCAAGTGGCCTCCGAGCAAGGGGGAGCAAAGTATGGCCTCCAAAATCCAGAGAGCAATTTTTTTTTTCGTAGCCCTCCCGCCATCCCAGCGCCTGGCGCCACTTGTACGCGGGACCCACGGGACGCTGAGGAGTCGGCGGAGTAGTCCTAGCAGTCCTAGGCGCACGTTGTTCGTTCACGCCGTCAAGCCGTCTTATTCCGCATCGAAGTTGCAAGATGCTGCGGGGAAACTACTGCGCGAAGACTGTCAAAGAGAAGGTGGATATTTTCTGAGAGGTTGACCAAGGGAACTCGAGCAAATACGAAATTGCGAGGAAGCACGGCATACCTCCGAGCACGTTGTCAACCTACATTTGCAACAGGACGGCCATTGAAAACGCCTATGAAGCCGAGGATTTTGGCGCCAGTCGAAAAAGGCTAAGGACAGCGAAGTTCCCGGAACTGGAGTCAGCTTTGATTATCTGGGTTAAAGAAATGAGAGCCCAGAGTATCGCATTGAGCAGCCCTATCATCGTGGCCAAGGCAGCCTATTTCGCCCTGCGCTTGGACATTGAAGACTTTGTCGCCTCCGAGGGATGGTTTCATCGTTTCAGGGAGCGGCACAATCCCGTATTCCGCACGTTATCCGGCGAGGCAAACGAAGTGGACGCCGAAACATGCACTACTTGGAGAAGCGACACCCTGCAGCAGTACTTGGAGAGCTACTCACCACGGGATGTGTTTAACGCTGACGAGACTGCGTTATTTTTCAAGTTGCAGACAGACAAGAGGATCACCTACAAGAAAGACAGCTGTGCCGGCGGCAAGCGCCGCAAAGAGCGTGTCACTGTTCTGGTCGCCGCAAATATGACCGGTACGGAAAAGGTCCCCCTTTTTGTGATTGGCAAAGCACTCAAGCCGCGGGGCTTCAAAAACATTCGCTCACTGCCGACGGAGTACGCCGCAAACAAGAAAACCTGGATGACAGGTGACCTATTCAGGAAGTGGCTACTGAAATTCGACAGGCGAATGGAACTGGGCGGCAGACGCGTTCTTCTTGTCGTCGACAACTGTTCGGCGCACAAAGTCGATGTTGAGCTGAGAGCAACTAAGTTGGTGTTTCTTCCGGAAAATACGACTGCGGCCCTACAGCCAATGGACCAGGGTGTGATAAGGAACATTAAGTGCTTTTATAGGCGTTACGTGCTGGAGAGAATGATTTTGTGCGCGGGCGACAAGAAGAACTTCGGCATTACGCTGCTCACTGCCATGCACATGTTGGTGCGCGCATGGGAACAGGTGACCGCGACCACAATCGCAAACTGTTCCCGCCACAGTGGATTTGCAGCTGGAAGTGCGCAGGATAGTTGTGACGTCGACGTGGATGGGGCTGAGGAGCTCATGTCATTGGCATTGCGCGACACTCTTCGGGGCGTACGTTTTGCCGATTATGTTGAAGTTGACACCGGTGCATCGGTGTGTGGTGCCCTGACTGATGAGGACATTATCGCTCAAGTAGCCGGTGCGCAGCCTGATGCTGAAGAGCCAGAAGGTGGGGAAGACGAAAATGACGAAGCGCCTGTGCGCCCGTCAGCTTCTGCGGTGATGGAGGCACTTAATGTGGCACGTCTCTTCTTCAGCTTTGAAGAGGGTGAAGAGTATTCCCTGCGCCGCGTCCGCGCGCTGGAACAGGGAGCCGCAGCTGTGGCATTCAGGGAAAAGAAGCAGATGGTCATCACCGACTTTTTTGGCCAATAAATATTTTTCGTGCCCCCAACCCCGAAATCCACCCATTTTTGCTCACTTTCATGATTTCGAATTTTGTTTAATTCGAAATTGCTCAGCGTTCTCGTGGAATTCGAATTAACGAGCTTTTACTGATACATAAGAATTCATAAGAATGGGGACCGACAAAAAAGCTTCTTGCGCATATCTTCCGTCGAAGTAACTCTATCAATGTAACCTGTGTTGTCGACGGAGGACTTTAATCACGGTAGTCAGTTGAACGCGAATGGAAAAATGGTCCCCATGAAACAGGTAAGAGGCACGCCCGATGGACGCCGACCAGCTGCATATGCCATTTGTTCAATTTTTACATCACGGAAATATTGTTAACGGTAAAAAATTTCGTTCTATGCAAGAAATGAGTAAAAGATTTGGCGATACAGCAATGCGGCGTAAAATCAGTACGCATAGCTCACTCCGGTCGGCGGCACCGCCCTCGACCGGTGGCTCGGGGCTGGTATCGTCGCTATAGGACTACCCCTTCACGATACTGCAGTGTATGGTATAGGTCATAGCCTCACTCTTATAAGGAGCTAAGCTTTGCTACCGCTGTTGCTGTTTTACGGTATAACCACGTTAATAAGTAACACTGAAAGGAATAGGTGAATCCCGGTGGCGAAGTGGACTGCGATGCCGACACGGCCTAGTTTTTTTCGTGCACTGTATGCGCGAGCTGTATGAAGCATCGAGTCGAAAGCTAGACGCATATCATAGCTCCAATTCATGCTAGACGCTTATCAGGCATCGTCGCACTCAGTGAGAAGTCAGTTTAAGCATATCTACTTCCTAAAACTATCTCTGCTTTTTTTATTATTTAAGGAAACACGTTGTATTCATTTCTTGCCGCTGGCGGCGACCACTCCGGCAAGAGAATTGAGCAGGCGTTACGTAGAGTTCTGCTGCCGTTCATAGCTATATCGGTCAAAAAGTGAACCTATTTTGAAGCAACATGACAGTGCTAAACCAACATGCATCATTCACACAGAATTCACTGACACACTCAACAAGAAATTACGCGGTAGTTTCTGCTATGTCCGACATAATTGACACTCGCACACGATCCGGTCGGCGCTTGACATCCCTTGAGAAGACGTAAAATCTGTGTCCTTTTGCTACAGGCTGCTGCTGTTGTAGCAACGCAGCACGGGAACCCGATCATTGCAATTCATCCAAATATGTCCACTCAAGTTCTTCAATGCAGCTCGCTGATGCAGCAGCTGTAGGCAGCGAAACGTACCGAGTGTGCTAAACGTACTGGCATACACTGCGGCAGCGGGGGCATAGTGCAACTCACGGTGAGATCGGTTTATTACGAAGACCTGGATTCTTCTTCCACACAGGCCATCATTCGTGTTTTCTTTTCCTTTTTTGCCAGATTTCATTTTCTTACTTGGAATGAAATGGAATGAAAAAACTTTATTTGAATGGAATGAAAAAACTTTATTTTCATTTTCTTACTTCGCATTTTTTTTTCTATTCAGTGAAGTAGAAAACATGCGGGATACCTCATGCATTGGCGAAAGACTACTTCAAGAGAAAAGCCAGATTCTTTATATTCTCAGCCAATGTATTAAACCTGCTCGACGAAACCTACTCCTCCTCCTCCTCCATCCGAAAGCTTCGTGGGCCTATTATGCTTTTGCGCAGCTTCCAAGGTCGGAGGCATTGGAAACTTTCTGCACTAATCTTGTTATGCACAGCCTCTGTGATCAGCCCACTATTAAAAATGCGTGGATTTCACATTCGCTGGCGTTATAATGTGGCGTAACCATGCATATGCTACGTCATCGATACTTCACAAATTTTGGCTTGCTGCGGTGTCATGAGGGCGACATCACTTGGTGCTGATATTTTGTATCAGTTGGGTTGATGCCCCCGTCCCCGATGCTGACGACCAATTTTGAAGTTCTAAGAGGCAGCTAAGGCGTTCGCCTTAAAAGAAGACAAATTAGGCAATTTCTCTTGGAAGCACGGTACAGCGACCGCCACTTATTAGAGGCATTGATCCCGTGCACTCCAGCCACTCTTTCCCTCACTGATAATTTATGTTTTCCATAAAGCCGCACGGCCTTGTTCCCTCCCTATAATCCCGCTGCAATGATGTCCATATTAAATTCTTTTTTTTCAAGGTCCTCAGTTTTGCGTTCTTCCTCAAAAACTTATTAGCCAAGTTTCATGGTTTTTTTTTTTTTGCTAGCGGCGTTTTCTATGTGACTATTAGCATATTCTCGCGCCATGTAGATTGCCAGTCAATTTATCTCCCCATTTAGTGTTCATTTCTATACGGTTCTAATCACGTCTAGGAGACGTTCCCGGTGACTACAGATCCATCAGCAGCAGCTCACGAATCCACGTGTTCGAGAATGGATCTCTCGCCGTCCACAACGCAGACGAAAAAGACGCCGGCTTCTTTCTCTGTCAAGCTTCAAACGGAATCTCACCGGTTCTCAGCAAAGTTGTAAAGCTCAGCGTTCACGGTAAGCTTTCCAACTTTTTCATGTTCAGATTAAACGCAGGCTTCTTTTCCAAGTCGGCTTGATGCACTCCCCTAACTAATAACATTCGTGTAACTCTATAGCTCGGGAAACAATCGCATTTTAGTTTTGCTGCATAAGTCTTCTCTCTGTGTGATTAATTACACGAACCAATCGCGTCTGTACTTCTAGTGTTCAGTCCAAAAATAACGCACTGGTCATTCCGTACGAGAACCTCTGTGCTAGTGATACAATTAAATTAAATTGCTTGATTTATCCTAGTAAATTATCATCGAAAGTGATCAGATTTCGTTATATATGTTAGGTTGCTAATACTAATTGTATGCACCCTCAAACCTACAAAATCACGTTCAATGATTGATTTGTTAGATTTGTTATTTAACTTTGCCCTTACATGAAATCAACCTTCTATGAAAGCGCCATTTCCCGCGGAACCCAATTAACACACTGTTGAGAGATGAGACTTGGATTTGAACGTTATGCCATAATATTAAAACCTGCATCATATAATGCAGCATCTAAATTATACTAGTCAAGCTGAGCATCTCAAAGACAATTCCACACTTAACAACCTTAAGGCACTTATACTTTGTTGTTAGAAGTCTAATACTTAACAACCAATGCACTTTCCCACTAACACTCGTTTGATTCGACTAAAATTGCTTCCTTTTTTCGTTTTTGTGTTGATTTGACACAGGATATTTTCGTATAGAGAATGCGCCAACCTTCCTGACAGCCATTTTGTTGTAAATGCCCCTTAGATGCATTTCTGTTTAGGTTGTTGTTACTCGAATGGTTATTGATTTTATTACAGTGGCTGCCCATTTCAAATCAAAATTTAAGGCGGAAAGCGTTCAGAGAGGCCACATCGCCAGGCTTCGCTGTGAAGCCTTCGGAGACAAGCCGGTGATCATCACCTGGTCAAGAGATAAGCAGTCGTTCGACCCAAAGGAGGATCCTAGGTATGGGCAAACTGATTTCACAAATAAGCAAGACTTATATTTTAGAAACATACTTGTCTTGAGGCAAGCCTGCAAGAACGGGTACCAGCTCTGATGGCTCTTCATTACATGGTGGAAGGTTTGGCCTGTATTTATTGTCTCCGTTGCTTCCTAATTGCTTCCAGTTTCCGCAAGAAGTTCTGAAAGACGCCGATTAACGAGACTTGATAAGTTCAATAACTTGCTATCGTGTGGACTTTCCGAAGGAAACAGTTTCTGGATGAAGTAGCAATAATGGCTCATGTGTACTCCAAGTAAGGTCCTTTTATTTTGCAGATATGAACTGAACGAAACGGTGCACGGTGGAGGCATTGTGTCCGAAATAACGATTCGTGGCGCAGACCGACGAGACTCGGCCCTTTTCACGTGCCTTGCCAGAAATGCGTATGGGTCCGACGATACGAACATGCAACTCATCCTCCAAGGTAGGACTTCCCAGACGGCTCACGCCCTTCTTTGCTCGCAGGTATTCCGAAGTACACCTGAGCCCTAATACTAATTTCACAGTTTTCTTGCGATAGCTTCAAGTGCACTGTATACTTAACTGGAAGCGCTGTTCTCTTCCGAGGTTGTTGCACATTTCTTTAATGTTCTGCAGGACAGGTAGTAACCGTGGAGCCGAACAACGAGATTGATGTAACTAGAATAATAAGGATGGGGTGGAGCACATTCGGCAAAGCATTCGCAAATCATGAATGGTAGATTGCTATATGATTCCTCAAGAGGAAAGCATATAACAGCTGCATCTTACCGCTACTTTCCTACGGAGCAGAAGCCAGGAGGATTACAAAGTGGGTTCAACCTAAATTGAGGACAACACAGTGATTAAAGGAAAGTGATACGTGTAAGCTTAAGAGACAAGAAGATAGCAGAGTGGGTCAGGGAACAAACGGGCGTTAAGGATATCAAAGTCAAAATCAGGAAGAAGGTCAGGGTAAGTAGCCCGAAGGCAAGATAGCCGCTGGTTAATAAGGATGACAGACTGGACTCCAAGAGAAGAGCAGGTGAAGGGTATACAGAAATCTAGGTGGACATATAAGATTGGGAAGTCTGCGAGTATAACGTGGCCGCAGCAAGCACAGGACCGAGTTCACTGGCGGAGCATGGGAGAGGCCTTTGTCGTGCAGTGAACGTAGTCGGGATGATGATGATGATGATGATGATGATGGTGGTGGTGATGGTGGTGGGGTGGTGGTGATGATGATGCTGATGATGCTGATGATGCTGCTGCTGCTGATGATGATGATGATAATCAAATTTTCAAACGCCTGAGAGAAAGCATGGAAACTTGGGCAAGTTGGTAGAACATAACTTAATGAAGGAACAGCAGAACCTAGAAGCACTACTGCGTAACTACGGAAGCAAAAAAACAAGGACAGAAAAGAGCGCTGCTCTTTTCTGTCCTTGTTTGTTTGCTTCGGTAGTTACGCAGTAACTACTTCTATGTTACGCTGTTCCTACATTCAGCCTGAGATGAATTTCGTTTTGTAAATTAGATGCATTTTGTTGTACGAGCTATATAGATCGTGTATATGACGCACTTGTTTTTGGCGCTTGCTCGTTTCTTGTTGTTCAGAACCACCGGACAGCCCGCAAGAAGTGAAATTGTTAGAGTATGGAGTCGGCACGTGAAGCTTTCCTGGATTACACCATACAGTGGAAACAGTGCTGTCACGAAATACATAATACAATACAGGGAAGACACTGGTGAGTGAAAGTTCATCAGGGGTACTTCTTTCTTCTTTTTTTATAGTGAATGCTGTTATGAGATGGGTTTCTTCTACGTGAATGTTTTACCTTTTTCATTTACACTGTTGCAGGCGTGTTGCTTTAAAGTAGTAGTGATGAATATGTAACTTCGTGTCTCCACACATGCGTCGGATCAGTTCGTTTTTTTTTTCCTTTTTTCCAGAAACCACGTAAGCTTTTTGTCGCTCCCTACAACATCAAACGTGACTTTTCGCGAGACCGTTATGATTACGAAAATTGCGCCCAAACTACAAGTTCGTGATTGTTAAGCGCAGAAGAAATATTTTACTGCTTCACCTTGGTATTATTTACTGAAAAGTGGCAGATGTTTATCCTTTTACTGTTCGAGACCTATGGGAACTTGTAATTTATTTCTGATTCCTACATACAACACTTCACACGTAACCCCCCCCCCCCCATTTTTTTTTTTCTTTTCAGAATCATGGCATCACAAGTCGTCGAACGTAACTGTGCCCGGTTCGGAAACGACAGCCGAGATTCGAGGCCTACGTCCAGTCACACTTTACGTCTTCAGGATTTTCGCCTTCAATTCCTTGGGACACAGCGACGCCAGCACCGAGACGCACGTTCGAACGGATGTCGAAGGTAAAGTCTTAAGCCAAGCACACAAGAAACACTTAGGTTGTATTAGCGTGATACATATACGAAAGAAACACAACACGGGCTCAAAGAGAAAGGTAGGCGCTAAACTTCCAGTTTGAAAGTTTAGCGCCTACCACGCTAATACAAGTTGAAGCAATGACCAACTCGCTCGAACTACAGCGCTTCTGATTATAAGACCGAATATTTCGTAACATTTCGCTAAATGGCCCATTGCACTTAGGTCACAGCGAATATTATTTACTCACCCTTGACATATCCTTACACGCCCACCACGCTAAACTAAGCTGTGGAAACTAAAAGCTAAACGCAAAGCCCGAAGTCAAGCAATCTTGAAATTCTCGAATCTTTTTGGGCGTATTTTAATTCTAGTGTATCTTTGTTTTGAACATACACGTATAAAGAAGTCATACATTCTTCACTTAGAAGGATATAATAAGATGCCATAACATTTTCATAACATTGAAAGTGATCAGTCATGTGCGCGGCACCCTATCAATGCTTCTTTGTTGTTCGTTTCAGTGTGTGTGTGTGTGTGTGTGTGTGTGTGTGTGTGTGTGTGTGTGTGTGTGTGTGTGTGTGTGTGTGTGTGTGTGTGTGCGTGCGTGCGCGTGTGCGTGTGTGTGCGCGTGTGTGTGTGCGCGTGTGCGCGTGCGTGTGTGTGTGTGTGTGTGTGTGTGTGTGTGTGTGTGTGTGTGTGTGTGTGTACGCTAATAAAGACCGTGTTTTGCGGCATATTTTGTTTGCCATCTGATCCGCAACACTAAAATTTTTTTCGGTGTAGTGTAAAACCTATTTATACCGAAGGATATGACGCGAACATTTATCAGCTTCTTAGACAAACGCTTCTATAGTAAGACAAAAAAAAAGAAAACCAACGTTTGTCCCAGTTTCTTTCAACATTAACCCTAACATGCAGTTTTTGCTTCATTGTAGCACCTGGGGGGCCTCCACAGAAAGTTAGGGCTGAAGCAACAGGTTCACAGTCAATCAAGGTTTGGTGGAAGGTAAATATACATTGTTTTTTTTTTTTCGTGCTCAGATATGCTACTGTCCAGTCTTAAAACTTGAAAAACGAGGGGAGGGTTTTTAACATAGCATTGTGACCTTCTAGAATTACATCTAAATTTCCAGCGAAGCTCTTTCTCCCATGCAGTTGCGCGAAGAACATTTGCCCGCTATCGAACCACGTCGCTTAAAACCCAGCTCTCATACGACATGTACGTTTCAAATATAGCCCGTACATAATGATTTCGAATACTTGAAAAAAAAAATTTTTCACAAAAGTTACATCAAGTATTTAGACGCCTAACTCTGCACTCTAATCTTTCTTAAACTATTTCGAATTTCACTATCTTTCTTCCTGCTGTTGATTAAAGTTCTGCCGGGCAGGGATATCAATTCTGCACAGTTCGTGAGGCAATCTTAAATTCAAAGGACCTTAATTCATAATTTATTAAACAAACCGTAATTGCTGCACACACAATTTGAACTGTGTACAGACGCAGCAAACTTGCCGGGAACTAACATAAAAACTTCATCGGCAACTTTTCTGTACGCACAAAAATATGTAACTCTAGCCTCGTGTAATACATCACAGTAAAAAAAAAGGAAGAAAGAGTTTAGTAAATATTCAAAGGCCTTAATTATGCTGAAAGCACTGAGCTGGCGCTCGTGTAGATGGGACTTCCTTGAATATAATTACGACCAGTTTTAAGGCATTCATTCTTAATATGCATGCAGCATTCTAGTTTTGACCAAAACACTGTTTTAAAGTAGTTGTATCTGAGAACTGCAAACCCGAATGTTTTCAGAAAAAAAAAACACCTCATTTAGCTCGCTAATCGGAACTTCTTGAAACTAACCCATTTCCTAGAATAATATCGCTTTGGCTTAGTTTTATGGATGTTTTTTGAAATGATGCGCATAAGTGCCGTAGTTACTGGTGTGGCCGTGAAATTACTGGTCATGCCGTGAAAGTAAACTAAGCGGGATCAGAAACTCGTGTAAGTTTAAGAAAATAAAAAATGATAATAACCTACGAACCGTGCGCACGAAAGTAAGAATGCTGAACAAGGCTGCTGATAGAGGCGTCGCGCTAAACATGCCACAATGTACACCGAATGTGGTATCGGGGTTATGTAATTTTCCAGCATAAAAGTAAGAGTTTGTAGTTATGCGGGAGTTTGAAAGTGTTCGAAAATGAAGTTTTTTCATTCCATGAAAATATTTGAATCCCTTCCAATAGTTGGAAAATCGAACCCAGAAAAGCTGTGGCTGTGGTGTTTATGCATTATCTTTACTAAATATTCAGAGAATAAACTGAACGTGCTCGCAGATATCCCAGCATTTCTCTTGTGCATGACACATATTGTCTCATCAACGACGGTTAACGGTCATCTAAAAATGAAGTTCCTTTGTTAAAAAATTCTGTTCAAATGGGAGCACAAAAATGGCGTGACACTTAGCTTTCTATGCAAGGAGTGTTATCTCTAGAGTAAACTTGTTTCTCACATTATGTCATTTCAAAGAAATCTTATGCCTTCGTGTTTACTTTTCCGTCGTATGCATTTTTTACGCAATGAGATGTTGGATTATTCTAGTTAACCAGTTGGACGAAAATTGTTTCACGCACTGTTGCTCACGAACGACATCTGCCTGAACCTAGCCATATACAGCATCGCTAAAAACAAAGTACCAATGCTTAAGTAACGCTCTACAAGCGCGGTCATTACTCTTGACTGACTGAAAACTTGTCAGTTACCAGTAAGGGCATTCGTGATATTCTAGGAAGCGATAAACTACGCGCCTTGTCGAGTTAAGCAAAAAGAGCGTCGACAGCACCTACGTGTCCCATAATTCCTCCCATGCTCTACATTTTGAGGAAGGGGGAATTATATAGGCATTTTACCTGATGCCTCTAGCAACGCTGAAAATGAAGGCTTAGTAATGTTCATTTGGTCTCTAAATAATGCACGTTCGTCAAAGCTTGCATGTTTATCACGCCTAAATTTATTCTGCCTTCCATAATATATGCGTGGCGTTTACTATAGTAACGCAGCTTTCCCTGGAAACTGCGACACCACGCACTCTGTAGAGCGTTTCAAAGGTAGTACGTAAAGCTTAACAAAATGTAATGACAAAAATAGCTTCTCTTACTCGTTCAACTGTTTGCAGCCTCCGAGAAAAGACCTCCAGTTTGGCCCGTTGAAAGGCTACTACGTGGGATACAAGGTGAAGGACACGACGGAAACCTACGTGTACAAGACCCTCGAGCTCACTCCTGCAAACCTCCACGACGAGTGCCACATCACGAACTTGAAAAGAAACACCGACTACAGCGTCGTGGTGCAAGCCTTCAACGCGAAAGGAGCCGGGCCGCCATCGGAGGAGATATTCGTTAAGACGCTGAAGAATGGCGAGTGATGAGAGCATTCTGTGTTTGTTGAAACGGGACTGTAAGGCTTTGCTACAAACTGAGCCATAGACGAAGGGCGCGTCAGGTGCCATTAGCAATAGCTTTCAGGCGTACGCTTGAAGCGGCACTCAATATATGGATGGACAAATTCACGCTACATTTGTTTGCCCCATAGCCAATACTTTTTCCAAAGCTATCTGCAATCGGCCTGTAAGGAAGGAAAACAGGTGCTAGAGGAAATGTGAGGATACTAAGCGGTTCAAAACAACAACTGTATCCCCCTACACTTGTGGAAGGAAAGGAGAAAGGGAGTTTGAATGTAGGAAGAGTAGAGGAAGCGAGAAAGAGATTGAGGGAGGAAGCGCGCACAACATCGCAGTCCGTCGGTCTTGTGTGATAAACATCGTCACTAACCATCTACAGCCACCCATAGAAGTCTGTTGTCCTTGAAAATTTCAGTAATGCCTTTCTGGACTTCATCCTAATGACTTTTAAGGATGACAATACTGGATGTTGGTTATAGTGAGAACTGGTGTGAAGGCAAGGGAAAGGGAATAAAAGAAGGGTTGGGAGATCAACTAGAGTATGTCCAATTCACTACCGTGCATGTGCCGAGAAAAGTGACAGGGTAAAAAAGATGGAAAGATAACGCATGCGCGTCTTAAAGGCCAACTCCGGCGATTTTTTTGAGGTCAGTGGATCTCAATGAAATTCAATGGGTACGTTCATTTGCACGGTTCCGCCGTTTATGCCAAATTGCAGGCTCGAGAGTTTCGTAGATTCTTTTCCAATGAATTTTATAGCTTGCCTCGAACCGCTCACCACACTTGCCAGAATCAATCGCAACATTGTGCGTGTGACGTTGAGTTTTGCCTGGCGGATGGGACGAACTGATGTGCCACTGCAGCGTCTGCTTGTTTGCTATGAATTGTGTGGGTTTGGCGGGCGCTTCCTTGGTTGAGCGTGCGATTTCCTTTTCCGTGTTCGTGGGCGTGCGATAGCTGCTAAGTGGCGTTGCGTTGTGAGCCACACACAATTCGGCATATATTCACCATAAGAGAGTAAGCGTTTTAGCCAATCGCCGCGAACGGCGTGGACAGGTAGTGCCATCTGGCGGGCATTCTGTGCAGCGTCAGGCAAATCTTTACGTCACACGTAGAAGCGCACTCAGTTGGGTTTTTGTTTCGGTATTGTGGTTTTTCGGTAATTAAAAATTATTTTCAAAACTTTTGAGCATTTCCGTTATCGGATGCGTGAGAAGTGTCTAAGGAACATAAAACCACCATTACCCTGACATGGTCGAAAAATCGCCGGAGTTTGCCTTTAAGAAACGGCAAGTCATCGAGAAGCTATCTCCCCGATGACGCTGCAGATTACAAGCTTATATGTCCTGTGGCCGGTGTGTCGATGAACTTGATGTAATTTTTTCTCTTACTACCCTTTTTATCCTTCATATTACGACCATATTTCTTAACAACCCCGCATGGTCTAAGAGCCAAATGGCGTCACTGGTGTGTTTTCTAAAGCGATCATTTTGGTAGGAAATTTTCCTATAGGGACCCCAAAAGTTCGGGGCCCCAAAGCCCTTCACGTATGGATGCTTTGGGTCAAGCAGGAGTGATGAATTTTCGAATAGGATCGGCAGCGTTTCGGACACTCCCCCTATTCTATGTCACTCTAGCCTTGGCCGAGAGCCGTCATGTTCGTCTGACCAGAAGCTTTTGAGGCAGGCTTAGGGGCTCTCTTTAAATTCGAGAAATAACGACCCAAACCTAAATGTGGTTTGGGTTTTGCGCATGTGCAGTGGCCTTGACGTTATTTCTTTGGAGCCCCAAACTTTTGGGGCCCCTGTTCAAAAACTCTCCATTAATTTAATTTCGTACCTATTTCAGACAACCAGTCTACATGGTTACCTAGTGATCGGCGTAAAGACAGCTAAAGCCTCCACGCTTAAAATGAACTATCTAGAGGTCTAATCAATGTATGTCGTTTGCCACAGCTAGAAGCTATTATGAGATCTGCTAAGTGAAAGACGTACAGTCAACAAACTAAAATTCAGGCTGTTATGGGCAACCCTGTTTTCAATGGAAAAAAAAACTGGTATTTGTCATGAAGCACAAAGCGGCCTTCAAACCAGGATATATTGGGGAAAATATGTCTCAGTTGCATTAAGCAAACGCAATATTTAGACGTATTGCGCCCATAACAAACTGAAACATCAGATTCTGCGACATTACGGCGATATAGCGAAATGAATGGTTAGCGTTACATTATTGCACTGAAAGGTTATTTCGCGTCTGTTTCTTTCAGATCCGCCAACCTCTCCAGCAGTCAAAGTTCAATCGTCTACGTCATCGTCAATTAGCGTCTCTTGGAAAGCGTCTGACGCGAACGATGTCATGGGTGAGTGCTCTCTACACCTTTTTTATTTTGATTCTCAGAAGAGCTTTTTCCCGCATAACTGGTTCGGTGAGGTGAAAAACTTGTCAGAACAGCGCGAAAGATTTTATATGAACTATTTGATTGGTAATAACTAACGATCATGCGTGACGTGCTTCTTGGCGGTTGGTTTAGCCGATGGCGGTTATTGCGTGATCGGCAGATACTTGGACCACATGACATTAGTTAGGGTATAATTCTGTCCTGCCTGCAAGACTGCAGGACACGAATAGCTGTAGAGGATTCAATTGCACGCCTCACAGACTTCGATGTGTGTGTTTCGAATCTGCGTGACTTATTTTTTTTTTCTTCCTGATCTACAATTCCCACTTTCGACATTATTTCAGGTTACGTGCTGCACGTGCGAAAAGACTTGGGCGAGTGGAACAAAATCAATGTGCCTCGAGACGCGGCCGAGTACACCGTAGACCAGCTCACATGTGGTGCTTCATATCAACTCTACCTGTCCGCTTTCAATTCGGTTGGCAACGGGGGACCAAGCAATATCATTTCGGCTAAAACCATTGGAGTTGGTAAATCAGCATTGACTTAGAATCATTTGTAACGTTTTCTTTTGTAGATTAGTTTAAGGCTTTGTATTTCGCTATGCGTTATTCGTAAATGCGTACTTTATGACTTCCAAACTCGATCTTGCTTTAAAAATAAAGAACTGTTCTTTTACATCCCACTCTGTTTTATCCTCTTCTTATCCAGAATGGGATGAAATCTTTTTTTCGTCCAATCAGGCGTAAGCGCCCACATTGCAAGTCTTTCACAGGATTGACGAAACCACGTGATCTCGCTAGCCATTTATATAGACTCACTTGCTTACTTAACCACAAGGTATATGGCAAGCCACTCGTATGTACTCAGGCTTATTAACTTTGCCTTATAAGAGATGAGTGGAACTTCCTAAAGTCGCCACCACCGAGGAGCAAACTTCTTACGTTAGGTGTAAAACTCTGTGTAACAAAGACAGCTTCAATGTCTGACCATAATGACAAAGCAGATGGGCTGACGATTTTTCTTCGTACCATTTTTCCGACACATCCGTTGCATTTTTTCTGCGAATGCTTGTTTCAAATCTCTGAATTCGGGTACGCACTGGCATTGTCTTTTATGCCTTTGGAGTCATCTTGTTTCTCATTGCTAATCATCAGGAGTTATCATTTTCTTACGCTCAATATTTTGAGGAAGCAAACCTGACCAACTACTGGCGTTGTCACGTTACAGCACCTGTGGCTCCAGACAAGCCATCACTGATCACTATCAACTCTACATCTATTGCCATTCACCTGGACTCGTGGCATGATGGCGGTTGTCCGTTCATTGCTTTCGAAGTTCGCTTTAGGAGGCAGAAAGATAAGGTGAGAGCCAGCGGTATTTTTTTTTCGCGCAATTTCTTCAAATTCGTGACATCAGCAGGCATACGAACCGAGCCTTGGTTAGCCCCACCTCACCGACTAGCGATCTGTGGAAGTGGGAAGATATTTCAAAAGATTACACAAAACCATAAATTGCAGAGACATGCGCACATTCACTGCAGCTCACTCAACATTAAGCAGGAAAATAGTCTGTAGATCTTATACACCTAATGCACCCATGCTTACACACGACAGACAAATGCATACATCGTGACTATATATATAGAGCCACCTTAGAGCATATATTACGGGAATGTACCCATATAGTACATATCAAAACTGGTGCAACTTCTAACAACCACAGCATCAGTTTGGACTGGTAGTGGGCGTTGCTCAGCTGAATCTTGAAGCACCCACTTTGGACAGTCCAGCCAGCCAAGGAAGCCGCCAAGGGCCGGCAACCATTAGCTGAAGCCTAGGTAGCGAAAACGCCCATTCCATCAATTCAGTATCAGTGGGCAGTGTAAAAGTTGCTCGATTCGACATGATCAGTAGGATAATGCGCTCACCTGTGAAAAAGTAGCGCTTAGCGTGTTAACACTAAATATTCTGTGTAAATCATTTACCTTTCAGGCTTCTGCTGTGAAATGCTTAGCAAAATTTGTGCTTTTTGTACACTACGCATCTGCACATCTAAAAAAATGTTGCTTACTTTTTCACCTAATACGAGTCTTTTAGGAAAACATCGTAGTAGGCTTAAATATTCAAAGATATGATATTCTCTCTTGAAGAAGGCAAAAGCTTGCGCATATGTCTGAAGAGCACACGTCATCAATCACTGTAAACAAAAGCCTACCAATATTTCTCCAGCCCACTTTCATTGGGTTTTGCGCTCGTTTGTCGATATGCTATACAAAGTGGCTCATCTATTTTCGGTGAACGAGCTGTTCTTTTTCAATAACTCATTACCCTGCTTCGCTGGTAGTTTGGCTGCTTCGCTGTGCTATGGCGTATTGCAAAAAAACAAAAACAAACAAGACGTGCCTGAACGTCTTTGTGCAGGTGGCACCACTTTAACACATGTGTTCTCTTTTTGTGTGTCTGTTTTTCAGGTGTGGAACGTCGTCGGACACAACATCCCCCCTCAGCAAAGGCAAATCCTTTTGAATGACCTTATCCCCGGAGTACCTTACTTGCTTCAAGTAATAGCGAAAAACGAGGCAGGCATAACCGAGGCCGAGTACGACTTTGTCACACTTCCTGCAGCACAAGGTATGCCTTATTTTTTATTTATAATTGACAAACTATGGGAAGGTAGGCTACATTATAGCCGGCTATCTCAACATCATGACACAGGATCTAAGCTGATATAGTACTTGTCTGTCTTCAGCGATCAGTCCTGCGTACAACAGTTTAATCGCTTTTGTGTCGCAGCACCAGCCACTCCGTCGCTAGTGGTAGAGAACGAAGCCACGCCTTTCTACCTCGAGCTGGGAGTGATTCTGCCAGCCTGCATATCCCTCATTGTCGTCCTCGTCGTGGGAGTACTGGTGTACATCGTGCTTCGAAAGCGATACTCATCGGACAGTTCGAATAGCGGTGAGCACTGAGGCGGTCTTCTTCGTCAAATATGTCGCATAGTAAATATACAGATACATAGTGTCGCGGTACTAAATGCGCAATTCGCAGTTACTACTGGCTATTCTGCTACTCTACTGCGCAGTGAACGGAAACCTTTCTCTTGCTTTGGTGAAGACATCTCTGAACACTTAAAACTGAGTTTGCATACTTTTATTTATTTAGTATTCATAATAGATCATCATACAGGCACAGGATCGAAACTCATCTGCCTAGCTTGGTTTATGCAAAGCATTAAAATTCCTCCGCTTAGCGAAATCCCTCGAAAACGTCAATCCAGACAGGACGGCTCTGCTTGATACCAATAAGCACCACGTGTCCAATATGTTGAAAAAAAAAACGAAAATATAAGTGAGCTGGTTCGCCTTGGTGGAAGAGTGGTTATAGTGCTTGGCTGCTGACTTGAAGGTCAAGGGTTCGATACCGGCCACGGCGGTGATCGCATTCCGATGTGCCATGTCAGTGCATGATAAAGAACACTCTATGGTCGAAATTTCTGGACCCTTCAACTAAGGCACCTTCCCTGATCATATCGTGATTTCGGGACGTGAAACCCCACATATTATTAAGATAACTGAGCTGGTCTTATAAGTCAAGTTACTTTACAGGTGATCTCGGAATAATTTGTAACGCAGGTCACGCAGCCGCACGCCAGCGGAGCATGCTTGAGCGTAAATACAGGCAAGGTCCGAGCATGAGTGGTCTCCTTAGCCAACATGTTTCGCTCTTTTTTTGGGCAGCTGGACTGGCGTTGTCTTGCCCCAAAACGGCAGCACTAGGTGCCCGTATCAGGATGACAGAGAAGACTATAGACGGATCGGAGCCGGTAGCATTCTCCGCGCCTTTATTTTTAAATATGAAGACTCGTCGATTTTTCGCGGGGTGCTTTTGCCATAAACCCCCCTGAGAGACTACGGACGAGTAAGACGGCATTGCTAGAATGGTATTGCAGCCTTTTTTTTTCAACTGTGTTATCTTGTTCAGCGAAGTATTAGTTCTTGTTTATATATATTCCGATCCGTGTTACTCTCTATTGGTAATACGACGACATTTATGATTATCACATGACCACTCGAATTATGGGTGTATCTGCTTCACCTTCAGTAAGACAGTTTACGAAGCGAAATAAAGCGACACATTCATGAGGCGGCTCATCTCTACAGCCCTTTATTTTCGAATCAAATATCTTGGTACGTATGCATTTGCGCTATAAACAATGATGGGATCTGTCCGATAAAAAGCGAGTATGCTGACATTTAGAGCACATGTGTTCGTTTGTTGACTACTTTAAAGTAAATAGCATCATAGTAAATATTTATGTAACAGAAAGCTTCACAAGTGAGGTTTAACGTCCCAAAACAGCTATATGAATATGAGAGACGGTGTAGTGACGGACTCCGCAAATTTCGACCACCTGGCATTCTTTAGCGTGCACCCAAATATGAGCACACGGGTCTACAACATTTTCGCCTCAATCGAAAATGCAACCGCCGCAACCGGGATTCGATCCCGCGACCTGCGGGTCAGCAGCCGAGTACCTTAGCCACTATAGACCACCGCGGCGGGGCAGTAACATAAAGCTGTCTCGATAGGAACCGGGCGAGATTCGTGTCACTGGCATGTATGGTTTAAATGTTTTAGCATTTCTTTATCAGTCGGGCCACCGATATTATCATGGTTGCATCAGATCACAAAGCCAATGGTACTTGCAGTTTCCTTTCATAAGTATTCTGATCGACTGATAAATAGGTTTGAACGTAACAATAGAGGGGAAAGCCACCTAGCCAACGCAAGCACGAAGACTTGTGCACAGACGCGGGTGCATACGCGCACCGGCCATGCCCCATTATCAAAGCGCTAAGTGGCACCTTGGGGCTACCGTTTTGCAGCAACGCAACGCAAACCTATAGGTGCTCTAGGAAGTAGCACTTGCTTACTAGAGAGACCACGCATGCGCAGCCCATGGTACAACTCTTTTTTTTTTCTTACGGGTGCACTTCACCAGCGATCGGCTGCGTGTGTGGCGTTCCGAATTAGTCCAGGAGCACCTGCACAAATTTTTGTGTGAATATATTGCATTGGGATACAAGAGTAAGCCAGACTCCTGATATAACTTGCGTATTAGGTTTTCCCGTATACTACTGCGTTCGTGAGTGTTTATTTTTCCGATTCTTTTTTTTCAATTATCTCGCTTTGTTTCCTATTTAAAACCTTCCATCATTACAATTGTGAGAACATACTGGTGATATTCCTTCATTTGAACTCCCAAGGTCCCGATGTGCAATGTCTCATGGTCAGTTTGCTTCAAGTCCACCTCGACCGCGCATTGTGCAGGAAGTTCCGCGTACGGGTCGCGCAAGGGAACCCACCTCCAGGAGTGCCTCCACTTGTCCGAAGTGGACCCGAGCCTGGGCAAGAAGACGATGTCCCTGGACGGCCGCCTGGACTACTACCCGACCCCCTACGCCACCACCCGCGTCAGCGACATTGACGAGAGGAAAATGTCCGAATGCTCCTACAAGCAGGTTGGTGTGCCTCCTCGGACTGTACGAAGCATACTGAAAAAAAAAAAAAGGTTTGCACGGTGAACGTGCCTTTTCTTGTTTTCTTTACAAATAGCACAGGCAAGAGTAGTCAGTAGAAAAATACTGCGTTTATTTATTTATTTTTTTATTTAAAGAGTGAAGTGGTTTAAGCCAAAGGTTAGGCGTCATCTGTTCATGTATACATAGCTTGTTCATGTATACTGCAGCGTACTACACTCCTGCAGGAGGGTGGGAAAGAGGAGAATAATAATAATAATAATAATAATATCTATGATGAAGTCACGTGCCAAAACAAATGGGAAGGGGAAGTGATGGGGAGGAGGCGGTAAGGAGGACAGGAAGGCCACCAGCTTTTCTGCTGTCACAGTCTTCACTCCACTAGCGCGTAGCTTCCCCCCGTTTTCTTTGTATAAAAATTGCAGTATTTAAAACCTTTCTCTCAATCACATAGCCGGGGTAACGTGAAGGCCTAATTTCAACAACAGGGTATTCATTGAACATCAAAACATTCTACTTTCGCGACAATAGCCGAGGACTGTAAGTCACCACAGCTGCCAGTGGGCCACGCAGTGGGAAAAGTAAGCCACTGCGGTGGTCTTCATTACACTCACCCCTTGGCGCATGACGAGAGGGCAAAGGAGTTAATGACATAATTAGAAAAGAAACATTGCAAAGTACCCGCCCGAAGGAAGATGACAAGGCACCTGTAAAGATTGCTGTGTACCGCGGAATCTCTTTGGTGTTAGAAAACGCATGTATTCAATGCCACTATAGGGTCGCAGGGGACCTACTTAAAAATGGTTCAGTTGCAAGCCGGCGGAGTACCTTTTGCCTTTGTCATTCCGATTGTTAGGACAGCCTACGCTATCTTTTCATATGCAAATGAACTGATAGAATACGCTATAGAAGACAAATTCAGTGGGGGTGTATGAAAAAGTTTTTCAGGTTCTCAAATCGGTTATTCGTCGCAGAACGCGCGTAAAGAAAACCGTTGAAGCTGTTGAAACGTTGACTCGCTTTGATGTCGTCGTCATTTATTCGCACTGCTTATCTCGCCAATCTAGGATTTCAATTACAAAGCGTGTTCCCTGCTTCTTTTGCCCTGCTTCCACAAGGCTCAGGAGGAGCCTCTTTACGCCACCGTAAAGAGGACGCCTAGGCCTCCTAGGTCGGATATCCATGTCTACAATTACCCTGGTACAGTAGCATGTTCTCGAATGACTTCCTTGTTGCGTGAATAAGAACCGTTGTGTTGAAGTTTTGTGTTGGCGTGATTCAGCTTGTGTGACTGGCTTTTATGAATTATCGATATAGCTGCATTCTATACAAGCAATGGTGATAGAAAAACATTGGGGTGATTTGAAAAACTAGAAAGAAGGCAGGAAGGTTAACCTGCCCATTCCCGATGGGCTACATTACGCTGCAATGGGAAGGGGCAGTATAAAGATGAAACAGAGGATGGAGAAGGGAAAGGAACAAGCAAAAAGTGATTTCAAGTTTTCAAAATTCTTACGGCTGTAACGTCAACTTTGCCGAATGAAATAGGTTTTAAGCGATTGTAATTTAACAATTACATAGAACGTTTAAACTCCACAACCGTCGTTAAATGGAGCATTTTAGCCCTTATATTAAAGCTTGGTGTTTTCTCTTCTGATAGTCTGCACCATCAGGTGATGTCACCAACTGAATCGCTAGCACCGAAATACGGGGAATGTGGTGACCCAGTATTCTGGAAGCTACAATACATTTATGTATAAATTATGCATTTCAAGATTTCATCTACATAATGCCAACTATACACTGCAAAAATGTTTCTCCCTGTTTTGTAGGCTGGTAGAAAGAGTATTTACTTCGTTCTGTAAACAAGTACATTTCTATCAACTTGGTGCTGAGCCCTTTTCTCACATTTGCAGCACCCACACTGACAGATTCACTTCGTGGTTACAAGCACAGTGATCCTAAACTGTGTTTAAATCCTCACTGGCACCAAAAGCAAAAAAATACGGGGCCAATTCATTTAATCTATGGCCATTTTAAAGATGCCCGAAAATGTAAACGATGTTGTTAACTACGGCTGCGATTTCTAGGAATGTGAATTCCCATATGTGGTTTAAAACAAGTCGGCTTCCGGGATGTTTTTGAAGGCTGTAGTTTTTCTACACAAGTGTCTTACATGCATTTGACATAGGCGTAAGTGCCCAAGGTTTCGTTCACCATGTTGGCATTCTCTCACTGTCGGAAAAAATGATCGTGCTTAAAAATCACTTGTGATATAGGCCTATGTATTGATTTTCTTGGAGGCAGCTTCTATATTCATCACAATTGCCCACATTGCATTTGCGCACAGCAACTCTGCAATAAGAAGAGCAAGCATCGTAATAGCAATATAATAATCTAAAAAATGGTGATTTTTAAGGCACTTCTTATTTTGCATTTCTCAAATATCATATGATTATTCAAACAATTCTTCCGAACAATGTTCCTAACAAAGCTGAAGTCATCGGACAAATATTTTTGTGATGTACTATGTTATATTCACACCAATCAAATAAATCTATATTTAGGTCGACGCGTAACAGGCAATATTACGTATTCAACTTAATTCAGCGTGTGGCGCATGTGTAGCATATTGAACGGCATTTATGACTGGCATAATATTAATCACGTCAGAATGTGGCATGGCCGCTATTGATATTGAGCACGTATGCAGAACAGCAAACATGGTCGGTCGTCTCGAACACATGACTAACGTATCGCAGCAATGAACACTGCAGAGTTCGTCAGAAAGAAGTAGGCTTAATTGTAGTGGAACGGCAAAAGTGTTTCGCAGATACAATCTGTTATGGCGAAACGCCACGCGTCAATGTTTCCTTCAGAAGATCCTATACAGGTGAATAATGTTCTATTGACATGCTGCGGGAGCAGAAATAAGGAAAAAGATGGGAGAAAGCGCGCACTTTTTATACTCTTTGCAGCAATAAAATAATTAAAAAATGGTCGGCATCGCCGCGGTGGTCTAGTGGCTAAGGTACTCGGCTGCTGACCCGCAGGTCGCGGGTTCGAATCCCGGCTGCGGCGGCTGCATTTCCGATGGAGGCGGAAATGTTGTAGGCCCGTGTGCTCAGATTTGGGTGCACGTTAAAGAACCCCAGGTGGTCGAAATTTCCGGAGCCCTCCACTACGGCGTCTCTCATAATCATATGGTGGTTTTGGGACGTTAAACCCCACATATCAATCAATCAAAAAATGGTCGCTGGAGTTGTGAAGATTGCGCCCCTCGAGATAATGTAGAAAAATTATTGTGCGCATATCATAAAGTTGTGACATGTTTATTGTTGTGCTTTGGGCACCTTGCAGTAAGTAGTGTTGATAATAGATCTTAGTTGAAAGAACTTTCCAACGAAATAGCTGTTTTCTCAAGACAAGATTTCTCTTGCATACAACACGTTCCTGTCGCGATGAGAGAAACTTCTACTGTGCGACAGACATGTTTTTGTCGCGTGTGTGTTCCATCAAGAGATAGCTGAATGGCTGCAACAGAAACTAGGGTTAATACAAAAAGAAAAAAAACTATTGTAACAATGGCCACTTGGTCGTCTCAAGGTAATCATCCTTGCGATAATGGGAGAAATCATGTGTAACACTACAGATACCTACTCACACAACAGACCTCACAGCAGAGCCTTGTGATAGACAACTGAGTAACAACATGTCGTGTCCCAAAAGAGGACATTACATTAGAATTTTACGTCCCCGTATTCTGGGGCATTTTTTCAACTTGCATTTCCCTTTTCTTCTTGAGCATATGGATGGCGCTTGGGATATGCACGCCTATTAATTGGCTTATGGATAAAGAGTTGATACTCCGTGCTTGGCCTTGCACTTTTTATTACTTTCTGTCCGCGCCGCATGTCAACATTTATATATGATTCAACTAGTCTGAAGGAAGTATTGTAGAAGTGGCTTAAGTATTTCTGCTTAAATTATTTTATTTTAATTACCGCTGTTGTTTTTTTCAGTGTTAAGTTCTTCAGCCGACGTGGGTGACAGGCGGGCATTGTCTAGTCATTGGAAAATGGCGACAGCGGTGGTTAAGCTCGACGACGGTCCTGAAGGTTTAGAGGGTGAGTTCTGTATCTATGAATCCTGTTTATCACCTTTACTGTTTTCGCTGCGTCTTCTGGAAGCGCTAAGCTTGCGATAAAAGAAGTGCCAATCAGCTTTGATGAAAGCTAATTCTGATTTCGTAACTGCCTCACACCTCATTCCCATCCTGTTTTTTTTTTTGCAGTTAACCACTCGCCGTCAAAGCGGTCCCATAGAATGTCCCATAGGTGAAATGAAAACTAGGTGAGCATTTCTTCAAGCTACGTTTTTTTAAATTAAATTATAATCCAAGCACGTGACTTTTTACTCGGTTTAGAGTGGTTGCATTAGGATTATTGGCTCGAAGTGAACAGCAGAGATTGGGAAGCAAAGAAGCCTCGTGTCACCATTGCTTACAGGGCCTACTGGTTTTTGAGCACAGCTCTTGCGCGCCCGATTTTTCGTTAGGTGGCGTCATGCTCAGTGTCACCGTGGGTGGCGTAACCACGTAAACGAGTACATGACACAGGAATACGGTGAGCCTACTATCATGTACAGCAGATCCTAAATGCCTAACGAAAAGGAAGTATGCGCCACTTCACTTGGGCTAGCGAAAAGTAACACTGGTATAGGTGGCACTAATACGTGCTACGAAAATTAACAGGCTCTGTGACCCCAATGGGACGACTTCAGGATTCTCTTACAAGAAACCCAATCCGGATACGACTGCTAGCCGATAGGGTTCGTCGGTTGCAGTCTCACAAGCTCAAAACCGTCACTTCTAAGGCTGATCGCCATGATTGAGCAGCCATACTTGTATTGGTTTATGTGCTCAACGTTCGCTTATTCACCTCACATGCCAAGGACAGACATCACGATTCCTTTCTTCGGCATGCCTCTCTACTTTGCATTGCTGAAACCAGGACGAATTCCAACAAGCCACCGTAGTCGTAGACTACCAGTACTGGGGCACCGCTCGCCGAGACCCCAACCGATTGGCGAGTGTGGCTATGTTATACTTGCGTACGGGTATGTCTGCAGTACCCATCAAAATATTTGGTACCTCGGATGTAGTTGTTGAATTCTTGAACGTTGGAATATTGGCCACCGATTTGGACAACAACCAGCTGGTAGTGGCTGGGTACTACTCAGCCTCCGTGCTTACCATGGGCGTTGTGCACGTATCGCAAAATCAAAATACCTGATTAGCAGTGCTCCGAATTCTAATTAGACAGCACCATAATCGTCGGTGACTTCATTTGTTTAATTTCTTTGAAAGCACTGACACGAGTGAGCTGAGTTATTGCAACACTGTGTAGTTTGAGAAAACAATCAGCCTACATTCCTACATGGTTTTTCAACGTATGGGGTGCTTCTTCCTTATTGTGTACTAGGTACGGGATGCAGACCAGTAGTCATCTGGCGCTGTAAGCACTGTTGCTCAGAAAAGGAGAAACTAATGGACAGTATGAAGTAAAGAGGGCTTCCCACAGATTCTCTGAAGATATTGGGTTCCCGGAACGTGTGTGTATATTGCACAAGTGCAAGATGGTATCTGGCGTTTCTTGCGCTTTCTGTGAATTTCCGGTTCAATTGATTCATGTTGACATATATACTGCATGAAAAGAGTCGCTCGAGTGGAGTTACTGCCGGCAAGGTCTTCCATACCAACCGTGCCCGAGGCAACACTGCCGCTACCTATCTTCACCCACTGCTCATAGCTTATACAGCGTCGATGTTCATTTACCATGCTGGCTTGTGTTACAATACACACCTCAAAACAAAGTTGTTTCCAGGAATTTTTTATGCAGAATTGATTGTTTTCCATCCAAAAAGACCACTCAGCTGAACTGATTCCGGCATTTTGTTGACATTATTTCTTTTCAGACCACGGACACAACGCTGTTCCTACTGCACCACAGAAGGCCAAAGGAAAAACAAAACGATACAGAACACTATTTTTCTCGACCAACGCCCATTTTGCGCGCCATGCTCAGAGACACTTTGTAAACGGCGTGTTCGGCGAAGGTCGTCACCGAAGGCAGGACGCGTGCTCACTGCGAACTCGTGCGCCTTTTTTCGGACTGAGCACGGGGAGCGAGTCTTGCTCGTGCCTCATTGCGTTCTGACGCCTCGCGATCCTCTCATCGTCATTATCATCGTCCACAATATCGAACATCGATGTGAAAGCAGCCTCCCCTTGCATACATATCTAATTGTGCAGTGTGATATAAAAACTCTTGTCAGCGCGAAAGCAATGTTGAACGCGTTGATCGTGCTTTCATTTTACACGTTGCCATGTTGTGCATGTCAGGTTCCCATCCGCTGTTGTTTTTTTTTCTTGAAAACTGCCAAATGTGGTGTTTCAAATGTTAAATAGGCGTAACTGTCGCTAGACTTCATGCAAACATTGCTAATTATATACGAGCCCATCAGTTGAAAAACTGTAGAAGCCAAATGCTTCGATGTCACTAGGTGTGAATACTCTAAGATAATACTGATTCTAAATGGCCCACCTTTACAGAATTGTCACAATAACATTACGCCAGGAATAACTCGAGCGAAAATTCTATCGACTTTTCTACGCGTTTATAAGAGATAATTTTAGCACTCAGGTGGTTAAACTGAAGAGGGTGATAAACTATCCCTGTCGTTAGGTTTAGAAGCGCTGTGCGTGGGATAGCACGTCACGTTTGTGTGCTGGTAACGGAATTTGGGGGATAAAACCGACCTATAGTTTAGGAGACAGATACAACCACTGAGAGAGCACACATGTTCGGGACTTTTCAGATAAACACGGTGGCTTGACCCTTCACTGAAAGGAGCAATTGAGGCTCGTGCTGTCATTGCCAGAACCTTAATTATTACCTCATGGTATCTACCTAAGATCTCCTTTCTTGTTTTCATCTGTGGCAGAGCCTACTGAAAACTGCCTTGCAACCTTTTATTCATCATCATCATCATCAATTAGATTTTTGACCGACCCAAAACACGGCAGCGAATTTTTTCACCTTGATGCATAAGAGAGTAAAAAAAATTAAACTGGTGTTACAGTTTGGTAATGTAGTTTATGTTGTTGCCGTGATGAACATGTGATACAGTAAAGAGATCGAAGATGCTTTAGAGTGGGCAGTGTGGGTGCCGAGCTGTGTTCTATAGGGCCAAGTGTGAAGCCCACTCACTGCCATATCGAATCGCCGTTGGAGGAAGACACAGGTTTACGTTTTCGAATGTGTGCATTATAGCGTTTCCCTGACCCCTCTATGGGCATTTTCATCTATGTATAGTTGCCACATTTTGTTAAGCGAACATTCGCACTGCATCGACCACGCGTGTACATATGGCAAAGTTGTTACGATGTAGTGTGATGCTGTGTCTATGCATAAAGTGTTCATACGAAAACTTCCTTCTAGGAATTTACTTGTCTTGGCTCCTGCCTGTAAAGAACTCACTAGAAGAAGAATACGGACGCCTGCTACTAAGCGCTCCTCCTCCACGCCTTGTTGTAATCATTCTACTTAACTTCCTCTAACCAACATGACGTCAGCAAGATTTTCAAAAGGGTATGAAACTGAACTACTGAGTCTAGCTTTATGACTACAAAACAGCATGACAAACTACGACACAGAAAGAACAGACAGGCCCAACTACCTGTAGTTTCTCGTGCTGTTTTCCAGTCATAGGCAAGATCAACTTAAGAGAGGGGTGGTCACTTATACAGGCAATGAGCGCTATCTTCTTCTCATTGGAAGAAGATGCGAATGTGGTAGACAAACTTCTGCTCGATAAGCACACGTAAGTACACGCTCAATGGTGAACAAACACAGTCCTTCATACTATGTCGACGAGTTGTCGAACAAGAAATGAAGCTGCAAAATTTCGACTGTAGGACTCGTTTTAGTAAGGTACGCAACTGCCCTGACCAAGACAACTGCTTTTGTTAAAACGTTTACTTCACAAATACATTTCCTGTTTGATGGTTTTGTCACTCCAAGTCTTCATTCCTTCCTGCCTTATTGGGCGACCTTCATCAATTGGTACTAAATAAAAATAAAATTTGAGCTATGGTTTGTCAATCAAAAGGAATCGGGCATAACCAGCATTTACTTCGGAAAAGTGAAGAGCGTGTCTTCTGCTTCCTGTGCTGTTCAGGGTCGACCGTATCTAAGCTGAGCTCCTTAGTGGTATTCAATACATTGACGTAGAGACCTCAGTTTCACGCTTGTAGGCGCATATATATCACCTTCAAACCGTTTTGAACCTGAAAGACTACGTGCACTGTTAACAGCCACACCTGGACCATGGATCATCACCGGAGATTTCAACGCTCACCACCCACTATGGGGAAGTCAGAAGACAGACAGTCGCGGAAGGCAAGTATTCTCCTTTGCTCTGGAGCAGCAGCTGCTTTGTGTAAACGACGGAAGCCCAACGTTTTTACGGGGAACGACATACAGCAGCTGCCTTGACTTGACATTTGTGTCACGAAGCCTAAATGGAAAGGTCAAGTGGTTCGAAGACTATGAAACTCATGGAAGCGACCACATACCAACTTATTTGAAGATCAAGGGCCTGGAAAAATCGCCAAACTACGACACTTCAACTCGCATCGACTGGACAAAGTTCAGGTCACTGACGGAAAGAAGGTGTCAAGAAAATAAAGCGCCTCCTCTTGACACCCTCGAGGATATGATTAGAGGTGCTACTCAAGAAGCGACCTATCATATTCAACATACTTCAGATTATTGTCAATATCAAGCGGAATTGGAACGGCTCAGAGCGATCCGTCGTCGCGCAGAAAGAAGATATAGGCGCACTAAGTCCATTCACGACTTGAGGGAGGCAAGGCGCCTACAGAAAAAAATTCAGCGGCGAATCATTTCACTTCAATCCTTTCGCTGGAAACAACTGTGCGAATTTTTGAATCCACACAAGCCTTTGACGCAGACATGGAGGATTGTCCGTGGCCTACGAACATCGCCCCTTCAAGTGTCTTTCTCTCTACCAAGGACGCACCGAAATTGAAGTAGCAGAAGATTTCTGCATGAAAGTTGCCGGTCATGCGTCCGCGTGCACCACGCGCCACCTAGAAAACGTTCCAGTTTCCAGAGATTCAAGAATGGACACCTTTTTCTCTCTAGAGGAACTACAAGCGGCCTTGACGGCATGCAAACGATCTTCATCGCCTGGTCCGGATGGGATCACGTACATGGCTCTTTGCAACCTCGGAGAAGCAGCTCGACGGGCCCTTCTTTCCGTGTACAACGACTCGTGGAGCAGCGGATTTATCCCTCATTCATGGAAATCCAGCCGCCTCGTCCCTGTGCTTAAACCAGGTAAATCTCCTCTGCACTTGACCTCTTATCGCCCCATCGCGCTTCCCAGCTGTTTCGGGAAAGTGATGGAGAGGATGATTTTGACTCGCCTGGAGTGGTACCTGGAGCACCATGAGGTATACCCTCATGCTATGACGGGCTTTCGGCGTGGGAGGTCCGCAATTGATAACGTTATAGACCTGGTCTCATCTGTTCAGCATCAAAAAAGACTGAAACGTTTATCTGCGGCGTTGTTCTTGGACGTGAAAGGTGCATACGATAACGTATCACATGAAGCTATTCTGGATGTCATGGAAAATGTTGTATTAGGGGGTCGGGTTTACCAATGGATCCACAGCTATCTGAAAGGCAGAACTTTCTTTGTACAGACGGAGAATGGCACAACAACGCACCATTGCAACCACCGAGGTGTGCCTCAAGGCGGCGTTCTTAGCCCCACACTTTTCAATCTAGCGCTACTCGGCCTGGTTGATGCACTTCCAGAATCTGTCCATCTATCAATATATGCAGATGACATCTGCATCTGGGCGTCAGGCGTAACACGCCTTCATTGCGTGCCCGGCTTCAGAGAGCGGCAAAAATAGCGACAAAGTACCTGGAAGAACGGGGACTAGAGCCGTCATCAGAGAAATGCTCGCTTATAGCATTCACGCATAAGGTTATGAGCCCATATGTTATTAAAATCAACGGACACACGATCAACTACGTGAAGACCCACCGATTCCTCGGAGTCATAGTTGATCGCGACCTCTCCTGGAGCCCTCACATCGCCCATATGAAAACTAAACTCACCATGATCACCCACGTACTGAGGTTTCTTGCTGGAAAAACGTGGGGTACATCGGTAAAAGCAAAGCTCCAACTCTACACTGTTTTGTTCCTCGGTTATATGCGATACAGCTTGCCCGTGCTTTGCGGGATCCGAAGAACAAACTTGCGCGTCCTCCAGTCGATCCAAGCCCAAGCCCTGAGAATATGCCTTGGTCTCCCGAGATGCGCGTCTACAGCAGCGACAGTCATCATTGCGCGTGATTATCCAGTCAACGCATACATCCGCGTAGACGCTTTGAGAATGCACATAAGACATTTCGCTCGGCTTCCATCTCATCACCTCGCCTCACTTCGAACTTCCAGGCCCGACTCAGCGTTCAGCGCAACTGTAGCTCAGCATTGCGCAGTGCTTCCATTGCACTTCACGCATGCAGCACAGCCGCCGATACCATTATGGTGCCTACACCCGCTCAAAGCCCTTCTTACAATTCCTGGCATCCAAAATAAGAAAAAGTCGTCGCATCTAGCCCTGAAACAGGCCACATTACTTTTCCTGCAAGAGAAGCACAACGGACGCCTTCACATTTACACGGATGGCTCGGTGTCTTCAGTAAGCTCTGCAGGGGCGGTGGTTATTCCCGCGAGGCGCATCACAATTAAATTCATGACATCGCATTTGACGTCGTCGACAGCTGCAGAACTTGCAGCCATTCGTGCAGCCCTGGAGTTTATAGTGAAAGAACCTTCGGGAATTTGGTCGATCTTCTCGGACTCGAAGGCATCTCTTCAATGTCTTGTATCACCCTTTCGCCATGGACCTAATGAACAGTTAGTAGCTGAAATAAGGCTTCTTCATCACCAAGCAACCGAAAAACAGCACAGCATAGTGTATCAGTGGATACCAGGTCATTGCGGTATATATGGCAATGACCGCGCAGATGAGGCCACTAGATCTGCACACGATGGTACCCAATACACAGCCACCCCGTTCTCAAGAACCGACGCAGCTACAAGACTTCGTTCACTTGCACGTGACCTCACACTGGTACAGTGGAACTCGACAGACTTCACAAACGCGCGCCTGCATAACTTGGATCCCGATCTGCAGCTTCGTCTTCCCCCAAGGATATCTCGAGCTGAGGAGACTCTTCTATGCCGCCTGTGGCTTGGAGTGGCCTTCACGAACGCATACTCTTATCTCATCGGGATGGCCAGCTCTCCTACATGCACTTACTGAACTTGCGAAGAAACCATCGCGCACCTTCTATGTGAGTGCACCTATTTCAACGTGCAAAGACAAGAACTCACTGCAGGTCTGGATAGACTAGACAATCGGCCTTTGTCGGAACAAAGGATTCTGGGTCATTGGCCGAGCCCATCCTCAGCCCAGGAGGCTTTGAAAGCTTTGCTGCGCTTTTTGCGGACAACTGGCCTCAGAGACAGACTTTAGTGTCTTATACTCATTGATGTTGCCTTTCCTCTGTCGCAATTTTTTTTGTAATTTCTCCCTCTCTTCGCAACATTTCTTTTTAACATCTTTCATTCCCCTCACCCCTTTCCCCAGCACAGGGTAGCCAGCCGGTCTAAGAGCTGGCTAACCTCCCTGTCTTTCCACTTAAACTTTCTTCCTCCTCCTCCTTGAACTAGAACGTTCATTATATTTCACGGTGTAAATGTTCGTTATATGACGTCCAATCAAAGTGTCAATAAATACCACACTGAAATCTTGCATTGTGCATTACACGTCAGAGTCTACGAGGTCCGAAATACCTAAAATGTGGGTGATCCTGTTCATTAGTAAGCGCAGAAGAGCAAACATTTAGATGCGTTGGAATTTTAACAGTTTGAATGGATTGGGCGTGATCGACGAGGACCGAGGTAAACAAGGCAAAGAACACCAAAAGCAACAAGTATCGTTCAGTTGAACTATGTTCAACTTCTCAATGTGGTCACTCCTAAAAAAGCAGGCTACGCTGCGGTCTCATCTA